AAACCAAACCAAACCAAACCAAACCAAACCAAACCAAACCAAACCAAACCAAAACAAAAAAACAGATCATCAAATATTGATAGTTACACGGGAAAAAAGCAGCTGTAATTCTCATTTGAAAAAGTCACTGGGTACAACTAGGTAGGACAGTAAGTTAGGGAGCACAGCCCAAGGAACCTCCTAGCTGTGTAATCTAGGTGAGTTACATTACTTTCTAGTACTACATAACTATGAAAACAAGTAAGTCAGATACTGTATATGTGTTAAATACATTTATTTAGGTAAATATATTTACAGACATTTAAATATGCTTATGTAAATAAGTATAAAATGTGTATTAAGAATTAAAATTTTCAGATTTCTTATTTAGTAATATAATCTTTGGAAATTTGTCCAAAACATAAAATTCAAAGTAAGTTATAATCACTCATGGAAATAATGTAATTAACAGTATTATCTGTAGCAGAAATTAGAAACATTCAACAACAAAGATTCAGGTAACAAGCATAACATATTATAGTCATCAAAACTTCCAATTCTGACAATTCCATGTTCATAGTTTAGCACTGTTCATAACGTTAACTGTAACAAAGCATAATTAATGTCTATGTTCATTTTGTACACAGCAAGTAGGTGGTAGAGTGATGGAAAATAAAGAAAAAAGAAAAAAAGGTGGTGAAGAGACCTCAAACCAACTCAGTATGTCCTGCTGTGTTTATTTATCACTGGCCTATCTATTTGCTAATCTCTCTAGTTGGCTATGGTGGTGATTTAACAATGAGACTGGACAACTGTATGCTGAATTACAGTTTTTTTTATGCTATGTTTAACTTTGGCCAGGGATTTATTTCCTTTGGAATCTTAGGGTTGGACAAGCATTTAACCAGCCTACCTTTCTTTTTTTTTTTTCGAGACAGGGTTTCTCTGTGTAGCCCTGGCTGTCCTGGAACTCACTCTGTAGACCAGGCTGGCCTGAACTCAGAGATCCACCTGCCTCTGCCTCCCAAGTGCTGGATTAAAGGCGTGCGCCACCACCGCCCGGCCAGCCTACCTTTCAAAGGAAAATGTTATTACTGATGTGGAGTCCACAGCCCTGCAATAACACAGGTCTGCTGTGTGGATGTCCTTGGCCATGTTACCTACCACCAAAGGACTGAGGCCATGTTGATAACAAAGGACTGAGAGAGCTGGCCCTGGCCCTCACCTAGGCAGCCTGGGAAAGCTGTTCCTACATCCACCCTTTGCCAGCTACAGCTGAGCCTGTCTTAGGTCGTTCTGACAAGAATATCTTCCTTACCCATCGTGGAATATACATTATCCAAAGCAATGCACTTCTGTCTTAGGATGGCTCTGTGCAGAATCTTAACAGTCCTTGGCTTGCCAGCCTGTTAATTTAATAACTCTGTCTGGGGGATCCATTTTCAGGTTCAAGTCATACTTCGGCTGCCAACATGTTGATGTTGTTAAAGACAAGCTTTAACACGATGGGCAGGAATAAAGGTATTTCCAGGACAAAAAGGGCTAGCATGATCAAGCAATATATACCATTCTTTAAGCTTGACCAAAATAGAAATACTGACCTCAGGCCATGAGTAATCTTATCTGCAGTATCTACCGCATCAATGCTCAGCAGAGCACCATTCTTGAAATTCATAAGCTCACTATGTAATGTTAAAACATCCAGAGAGGTGTTAGAATTATGCCAAACACACTGTGTCTTTAAACTTCTTCCTAATTATAATGACTACCACTGTAAATTTTAGAACTAACATGAATCCAATGGTATTTGGCATGACACTCAAGATGGCTCCTTACCTTTAAATTCTAAACCTCCTTCATCCAGCATATCAGTTATGGAGGTCTATTAACCAGCTTTTGCTTTAGTGCCATGAGTATTACAAGACTTTAATATTCTGTAAAAAGCTTGCAAGTACTGTAAGAAATGAGTCAGGCTTCAAGCAGAACCAAGAAGGTAGTGGGCTTGATTACTGCTGGTATAACAGCTTTAATTACATTAATTGCTAGCACCACTGCTTCTGCAATTGCTGTGACACAATAAGTTAAGACAGCTACTTTTGTTAATCATCAAGCAAAAAATGTTCCTAATGTGTTGAATATACAAGAGGATCTAGACAGGCATTTGGAAGAACGGATTGATGCTCTTTATCCTATTCAAATTTTAGGAAAGATGTTTATATTAAATAAATATAAAAATGTCTAAACTATAGTCATATGAGAACAATTAACTACTTCTTAAGACACACAAAACTTGCCTTGTAGTACATACCTTTAAATCCAACACTTGGGAGACAGAGGCAGGCTGGTTTCTAGGAGTTAGAGCCAACCTAGTCTACTTAACAAATTCCTGGTCAGCCAGTGCTACATATTGAGACCTTGCTCAGAGAAAAAAAAAAACCCAAAAAAACAGAATCTCTAATGAGAGGGATCAAATAGAACTGGAGAAAGCTTACACCATATACAAAAAGCTGAGAGAAATCCAAGGATAGGATGATGTTATTTGTAAGCACTTTGTTAGTTATAATGCAAATTATTCATTGTAGTGTAATTTTAAATAAACCCACCCTAGCTCCACCTAGGTGCTGGCAACATCGGTCTTGCCCAGCCCCCACAGCTAGCTCCTTAAGCTGTTCCTGGTCTCTGTCTGTTCCTTGCCTGGCGCAATGGCCCAAGACCATGACTGCCCCCCCCAATTCCTCTAGCTGGCTTTGCTAAGCTGCCCCGTAGGTGTCCCTCCTGAGAACTCGTGGAGCTACCATTCAAGTTCCACCATCCATCCACCTTCTCTCCTCCCATGCAGTGGGCTCTGTGATGGCCTCCACAAGGCTGTACCCTTTCACTTGCATACCTGAATCAGTTATCATAAATGGAAAACACCAGACAATCTTAATATTTAAAATTAACCAGATGACACAACCTCTGGGTATGGAATCTATTGTTCTAAACTTATCAGCTATTCTGTGTTGGAATTCTTCTGGTGTCGGAGGCCACCACTGGGTCTAACACCTTTCTGACCTACACTCTGCACATCCCCTCTCTTCACTGCCTCACCTCAAGCCATTTCCTTTCTCTTGTGTCTCCCTCTTTCTCTCTCAGACTCAGAAAACCCGCCTCCTTATCTTTACCTTATTTTTATCTTTGGCTTCTTGTCGTCTTAATTAGCCAATCAAATAATTAGGGACAATACCCCTACAAAACACTCAATGTTCATCAACCTCTAAACACTTACTTTTCAGAAGTAAACCAATGGGTCGAATCATTAATCTGAGGAAAGTATAATAAACGAGAGTATAAAATTCCCTAAAAGTCTATAAATACAGAAATGATGTATTTCTTGTAAATATAAACTTATCCTGTGTGTTTAAATTCTTCAAGCATTTGTAGGTCCATATTCTCCTACAATGCACAAGGAAAATTCTCAGAATACTGTTTAACCTTGTATGTTCCAAGGTTAACCATAGAACTACTTTCATCCAATGTATTATCTCTTAACTAGTACCATATATAAAACATGCTCAGTAAATGATCATCTTCCAATTAGTATACTCACACAGCCTTGTGTTGAAAGAAGAAAGAACATATTCTCAACAGGCGTATGAAACTGACCAGTGCTAGAGTACAGGTCTGCCCTTTTCAAACATAATTACCATTCACCAGGAAAACAGTGAAATAAGCTGGAGAATTATAACATTTTGTCAGGACACTCTGAGCATCTGGGATGGTTACAGTAAAACATTTCAAACACAAAGGCATGTTCCAGACATGGTACTTTATATGCCTTTGATTATTACATGCCACCAACCACACAGTAAATTAGGGTTAGGTAGCCTTTGGTTAAAATATAAATAATATGGTGAGATGCACATATTTCTCTCTCTCTCTCTCTTTTTTTTTTTTTTTTTTTTTTTTTTGATTTTCGAGACAGGGTTTCCCTGTGTAGTCCTGGCTGTCCTGGAACTCACTCTGTAGACCAGGCTGGCCTCGAACTCAGAAATCCGCCTGCCTCTGTCTCCCAAGTGCTGGGATTAATAAAGGCATGCGCCACCACTGCCCGGCCATATTTCTCTTAAAATACGTATTTCTATCATAAGCTGTGATGACAAATTGGGGAAGCATTCAGATCCTAAAGCGAGAAAAAAAAGTCTATCCTGTGAACACAAACATCAAGAATTGTGACATATATGGGCTGGAGAGATGGCTCAGCGGTTAAGAGCACTGATTGTTCTTCCAAAGGACCTGA